GTAACAGGAGGCTATGACTAAAGACTGATGTCCCGTCATAGCTAACCTGAATATCGTAGCTTCCATATTGGTAAGTTGAGGCGTATTAATGTGAGAGCAATGTAATGTCCTCTTGTAATAAATGGCCGTTCCGCCGCCTCGGCGGTCGGGCCTGTCATTACGAAGAAGAGAATAATTCTTAATAGAAAGGCCTGTGGTGTCCTTTGATTTGAGGTTAGTTTCCTGTAAGAGGAGAAAATCGGCTACGCGATCTCTAATGAAGAGCTTAAGCTCTGGGAGGTTATTTCGCAATCCGCGAATGTTAAAAGAGATAAGCGATAACCCTTTAGGCTTTATACGTCCGTGACTTATAGGCAGAGCAGATGGCTCTGTCATTGTGAAGTTAAGTTAATTAAGTTAACTTAACTTACAATGAGCGCAATAGATTATTATGCTCTACGAGAGCTAATAGGCGGTCCTGAGGGTACCGAGCAGCGCGCAATTTACTCGCTAACACTGCAATTTCGTTGATGTCGATGTTCCTTATCGCGGCGTAAACCGTGTTAAGGTCATCGACCATTGATGGCTGTTTCGCTTGAGGAGCGGAGGAGGTTGCCCGCGGTGGGTCAACCTTTTTAGGGCCCCAGGGAAATACTGGAGCCTGCGAAGGCTTTGAAAAGCCCGGAGGTGGCCTAATAGGCGCCTGCGGTGGTCTAACGGGACCCTGAAGGGGTCGTGCGAAGCCCTGCGGCGGCTGGGACAAGCCCTGATGGGGCTTCCTAACATATAATGCCGGGAATGAACGGTCATTTACCGGCGGTGGGATCTGCCTATTTGGGCGAGGACGAGGAGCGAACGGGAATCCTCTATAACTTGCCGGGTGGCCTGTCTGTTGACACAAAACGCACGCGGGCGGGGATACGGCATCTTTGGGCCGGGGGCACTCCTTAGTGGTGTGCGGGTCTAGGCACTTAACGCACCTGGGTGGAGCGGAGCATAAAGCTGGCAGCGATGGCACTGCGCCGGGAAACCGCGCCTATGCGGTGGCTCAACTTTGACTCCCGACAAGTCGCACACGGTGCGTACTTGTCGAAAGATAGCTTTCGCCTCCGGAACGTTGGTAAGTATAACTAGGGTATCTCAACCCGGTTCTGCTGTGCATTTTATGCACAGCCTCAACAGGAAATCCTTGCGACTTAAGGTCCTTAAGGATTTCTTCATTGGAGAGCTCGAATGGGTCTCCTCGGATGATTACCCTAACTTTACGCTCTTCCGGAAGAGCGTATGTGTGGTAAGGCACACGTTCGTTTGTAAAAAGTCTCGTAATGCGGCGAAAATCGTCTATCGTTTGTGGAACTATTTTAATGGCTACGCCCATGTTGGTAGCTTGGTCATATTTAATACCCGAGTCATAGCAGATTTTGCTAAGTCGGGTGAATTCTGTTTTGTCTCTTAAGAAGCTTTTGTCTTTGGCTGCGGAAGGAGACGCGGCAGCGGCGGGGGCTGCGGGGGTAGAGGGGGCGGCACGGGCCGCCGAGACGGGGGGCGAACGGTTTTTCGCGGCGCGCTTTGCTGCGCGCTTTGACGATACCGTGGTGTAAGACGTGTTAGAGTCACCGGTATCATCGGAGTCAGAGGACTCCGATGTCCTGGTGCTAGACTTCTTAGCAGGCCTCTTCCGGGAGGCAGATACTGACGACGCGGAGTCGGAGTGAGAGCACTCCATGTCGATTTCTAGCGGCGCGAACGAGTTTCGAGACGCGAGGTAGTCCACTATAACGGGCGGCGGTGGTTGTGGCTAAGAGGCAGCAGCGGTGAATTTAGTCATTAAATTGGTTAAAGTCTTTATGTCCATCTTTGCGGCGATGGCTTGGAGGGATTCTACTATTTGTGCGTGGGTGGTCATGTTGTATGACGGTGGGGACGACGTAATTAGTTTTAAAAAATTAAGGGGGGGACACTGTTCTGAAAAGAACAGAAACGTAGTCTAATAACATTAAGGAAGGGATCACCGTTCTGAAAAGAACGGGACGTTCTTAATCCCAGGAGTAAGTGCCCCTGCTCTCGAATGAGCAGGGCCTTGCTCTGAAAAGAGCAAGTAACTCCCTTGAAACAGTATATACACGTACACGTTATACAAATAAATAACGATAACAAAATTAGAAATAGTTAACAAAAGAATTAACAATAAAAATAACAATAACAAGCAAGACCAACAGTCAAACCGCCCCGTCCGGAGACAGGGAGGTAATAACTGGAGTTAGCTTAAAAGGACTCACCAAAGCGTCGACGCTGTAGCGCGAGCAGGACAGCGGAGGCGCGAGAGCGAGAGAGCACTAACGTAGGGACGTTAGTGCGCGCGGACTACCTGTATACAACCGCTCGAGAGCGGTGCGACAGGCGGAATGAATCTTTTTTTTTTGAAACACTGTATCTAACGCGATCTATTTATAGGCAAACCGCGCCTAGCTTCGCGGCATCGATGCAGTTAGCGGCAGAATAATGTAACTCCGCACTTATAGTAAAATACACGTGATTGTGAAGACTATTTTTAGTGTATAGTCCTTTACCCTGTTATGCTTTAAAGATAGTTTGAGATATACAGTATAATATAATTTAAAATATTAAAAAGTACATGGCTTTGCCCAGTTACTGTTTTATGCCTGTAAAGAGCGGAGCAAATAACATAGAATTTTGTAGAAACCTCAATTTCGTCGAAAATGGAGTTACAGTGTTATGCTTCTCTTCAGGTACAGATTAATGGTTATACATAAAACTGTTTTTATATATTGCCTTATATTTTTCAAGATGAAGATTGATGTTTGACAGTTGACGTAAATCACAGTGGACGGATGTCAGGGTTGCGGAGTGACTAAAACTTTTTGAAGTCGTTGTGATTCCAGACTAATTTATTTTTTGTCAAAAGTGCCATCTAGATTTAATTGTAGTAACTAAAATTCATTAGGTTTTTCTGTATTGGACAAGAATATTACTAAGTGTTAATACGGTGGTTTGTCGCACACATTTGTTCGTCAATTGAAAGTATTTCCTTTTTGGGAATCCTCTTGACATTTTTTTTCAACGTCTCGAGAAATGGTCAAAATTTGAACATTATCTTAACATACAACTTTTTTATCTAATCTAAATAACTTTAATGACTAAAATGACATTATTTGCTAAACAAATACAAACAATTTAATAGCACAGGTCAGGATTTTCAGATTCTTCGATAATATCAGGTTGATTTCCATGTGGTAGGTCAATGTAAAACTATTTTAGTTCTGGATCGGCAATCCCTTGAGTTAACGTCGCCAAATCTTTGTATTTCGCAATACTGATAGGACGAATGTTTTCATAAGCCTGTGGTAGGGAGTTTGACAATACAAGGTTTTGTCTAGTATTCTTTTTAAGGTATATCTCAGAGAACTCTTTTTCATGGAAACTGGTTTTATAATATAAAATACCATCTTTCTGCTTCCTTACCTGTAGCCACACACATTGTGAAATCAAAAACTGATCATTAGATGAATTTTTACGCCTTTGACTGAAATTCACGGACAATGATTTAATATCTTTAACATTCATAAGATTCATGTTGTGTACTATTAATGGGTTCTGAGTTTTACAGATTTTAACAAACTGCTTCCAATCACGTGGTACTACTACATCAAAACTAGATAGTTCTTTTTTCTTTCTCTCAATAACTGAATGAACAACATCAGCCTCTGAATGTGTGTGACCACGAAGTAAAAATTTGTGGTTGATTGTGTCAAGTTCCGTGTTTTGTAATAACCAAAAGTAACAATACAACAAAATAACGTTACGGTTTTGCCCCGAACAGTTATCAGAGCATATTGTTATTTCTTCTGTGTTTTCTCACTTGTAATTAAGAACTCATTCTATAATGCACGATCCGACTTCATTGGCGCCTCTTCCTCCTTGTGTTTCATCCCACATCATGCATTAAGATTTGTTATCAGTGTCATTATGGATTGTTTCATTGAATGTCCACAGTTTTCTTAAATAGAAAGACTGACTATTTGTTAAAAAAGGCGTTGCTAAACATTTTTGCATGTCCACCATAAGAGTTACTTTTTTTCCTTCCGATTCTTTAGCGATTTCTTTGTCCTCTTTTTAAAGCATACCTCTTATCAGCGTCGTCAATATGTTCTTTTCTTTGCTTCTCTATTTTTTCTCTTTCTTCGGGATTAGTTTCGTGCTTTAATAATGATATGAACTTATCACAAGTGTTGCAAGTATCATTGCTAGGTAAGTAAAAGGACAAATTGAAATGCTCGTTGAAAATTTTTCTGTATAACCACTGCTTCGATATCATATTTTCTGGTACACCATCTTCTTTACATTTTTTTACGTATAGTTCGTACATTTTCGTTATATTTAAATCTGGTCCAAGATATTCGCGAGTTGTTTTTTCTCTCGAGTAATGACATATGTAACGTGGAAACATACAAATATGGTTTTTAATCCCTGCAATTACAGTCAACTTGGGTAACTTTGAATTTCAATGTAACTTTGAATAAAACCCTACTAACAATTAAATATTTTTTTTACAACTGTACCAGAATATCCAAGTAGGGAAGTATCACGTAAAACGGAACGGCGTAATGTATAGACTATCTTTAATAAAAAAATTGCTCTTGTCAATGTCAGTTTGTATTTTTGCGCGTCTAAGAAAACGAGGTCTGTCTGCAAAGAAGTTTGTTGGTGAATTTCAAATAAGTTGTTTTTAAAGATATCGTAGCTGAAGTGGGTAAGTTTTGTGTTTAACATTACTGCCATAGTTTTTACTTAAAATTTCGTCAATTAACATATAATTTATTAACTCATTTACACATATATATGTGTTTATCGTTTGATACAAAAAATAATTACAATTTTTGGGTAACATTGAACCGTTCAATGTTACCCTGAAACATTTTTTTTTGATAGGGTAACTTTGAATGTTTTGCTACCAAAAGTTAAAATCTTATGAACATAATTGTTTTTTATTTAAAGGTACAATGCCTCGAAAATCCTCTCAAATAAAGCCTGGTGTTAGAAAATATGGTACTAAAAGCAACTATACTCCGGAGCAATTGGAAGAGGCACTCAGTGAAATTCGGTCAGGTGCCATGTCAAGGGTGGATGCATCGAAGCATTATAAAATACCACCTGTAACATTATATTATAAATTAAATGACAAACATACCAAAAATATCGGAAGACCTGTTACATTTACCGCAGAAGAGGAACAGAGTTTTCAAAATCATTTATTATTGTTGAGTGATGTAGGTTTACCGTTGAGTATGTTAGATTTCAGGGTTATCATTAGAGATTATCTAAATAAAAACAACAGGATTGTGCCTCAATTCAGACACAATATGCCTGGTTATGAATGGGGCACATTATTTTTAGAAAGACACCCTTTACTGAAGGAGAAACTATCTCATAATATCCCAAAAAAAAGAGCCCAAGTCAATCGTGAGCAAGTTAAACAATTTTTTAATAATTTTTCTAAAGAAAGTGAAGGCGTTACTCCACAAAATTTATATAATATGGACGAGTCAGGATTTCACGATGATCCCGGGAAAAAGAAATTGTTGTTTCGTAGAGATTGCAAGCACCCTGACGTAATAAAAAACAGCTCTAAATCCTGTTTTACCATAGTCTTCTGTGGAAATGCAGCAGGTGAGCTTATACCACCATTTTTTATTTTTAAAGGGGTGAAACTTTGGTCTGATTGGCTATATCAAGCTCCGGAGAGTTCCAGAATGGCAATCTCAAAATCAGGATGGATGGAGACAACAATTTTTGAAGATTGGTTAGAAAACCAATTCATTCCATTCGTGAAAAAAGATGAGGGTAAAAAAATATTAATGTGTGATAATTTAAGTGCGCACATATCTCCTAAAGCACTGCGCTTATGTGCTGAAAACAATATTGCATTCATTTGTTTGATCCCTAACTCGACACATCTTCTTCAACCCCTTGATGTAGGCTATTTTTCGGCAGTCAAGTCAGCTTGGCGAAAAGTTCTTAATGATTATCGTCAAACCTGCAGAGGCAAGAAAGTCTTGGCTCTTCCGAAGTCATTATTCGCCCAGTTAATTAAAAGAACTTTGCAAAATGGAAATGCCAATTCATCTGAAAACCTACGAGCAGGATTTAAAAGTTGTGGTTTGTATCCGTTGTCCCCAGCGACTGTGTTAAGCAAACTTCCAGCATATACCTCTACTGTGGACATAAGCGACACTATTAGTGAAAGTTTTGTTAATTATATAGAAAATGTGAGACAATCGGATCTGAATACAGTGACGAAAGGAAAGAAATTTCAATTACCTGTAGTAGCAGGAAAGAGTGTTTCGGCCGAAGAAGTAGAAAATTATTATAAAGAAAGGGAAAAAACAGACAAAACCAAGAGAGGAAATGAAGTGGAAACCAGGCAGTCTAAAAAACGTGGCAGGCCCATGGGGTCGAAAAACAAAAACAAGAAAAAACCAGGGGATCCTACTCCTTCTGGAGAAGTATGGTCAACAGAAAATGAGAGTGAAAACAATGAGGTTGTTGATGCTGTTAAACATGGTGAAGAATGTGATGAAAATGAACTTATGTCACAAAATGTTGGAGGATACGCCGAGTTCGTCGTCGAGGCTATGATACACAAACCACCTTCTCCAGAAGTAGCTAAAGGTTTATATAAAATGCTCGACATGGGTGTTAATTCATCTACGCCACAAGAACAGGAGTTTGAGCCACCGGTCATAACAATCCCAGGAGATAATATAATTGGAGAGTCGGAAGAACAAATACAGTGGGAAGATAAGGATTTGCCTATTGTAGAACCCATCAGTGATTTAACACCCTCTGAACAAAATAATTCTGGTAGGGGCTTGGTGAAAGATGCGTATTGTATTTTTAATAATGAGGGGAGCATGTTCCTAGGACAAATACGAAAACTAAACTTGTCGACCGCGACTGTCATGGTTTCAGCTTTCCAAAAATTCTTTTTAGGAGGTTGGAAGTGGCCTTCAAAAGCCGAGATATTAAAAGTAAAAATATCGGATATCGTCAGCATAGTAAAAGACCATCAAATTACTAAGAAAAATGGTATAACATATGTAGAAGATGATATTTTATTAATGGAGTGGGGAGAGTAAGATTTTTGTGAGGAAAGTATTTATATAAATTTCTTCCTAACATAAAAAATTTTATATCTCAAATGAAAGCCAAACTATTATAGTATCTTAATAAGAATTTCAATTAATTAATTTAAGTTAATAAATACAGTTATAAATGTACAAAAAATTTTGTTTTTGTGTTACATTTTGGTACATTCAGTTCGTATATGGCGTCCCCAAGTGATAAGAGAGAAAAAAAATATTGCAAATGACTGGCCATAGAGCATAATTTTATTTTCTCAGTAAAAACACCATTTAATTTTACCCAAACTTCAAATAAATCCAAAATTATATGTTTTAGTCTTCAGAAATAATAAGAGTTCAAAGTTACCCTAATTTCATGATAACTTTGAATGGTATCTCAATCGTCAATTTTGGGAATATTTATGCGTATTTTAATTAATCTGAGCATTATAATTCGTTAATAACACTAATAGAACACAGTTAACAAAATAAAATCAATCTACTCTCATACAATTTTATTACTCTGTTTGTCAAAATTAATAAAAACTGTTCAAAGTTACCCAAGTTTCCTGGAATATGCTTTCCTCGTTGATCAGGCTGCACTAAACTTGTAGCTTCCGAAATCTTTGATAGCGTGGTTGATATGAATTGTTCTGTAAGGCAAAACGTGTTTAGAAACATTTTTTGGCATACCCAGGTACGTACATTATTAATAAACATATTATAAATTCTTGTTTTCTTGCGTCGGCTAACATCATTATTCTGGCGGCTACGAGGTCGCATCACGGATACTAAGTCAATAGATGAAGCTACGAATTGTCCTCTTTGTTCCCAATTTGTGGTGGTTTTCCAAAATGACTCAAAGTGTTTTTTTTCTATTATCATATGAAATTTTTTCAAAGCATTTTAGTTTACAAGTATTCGGGCAAGCTTCCTTCATTTTCCTCTTCTCGATTATTTTTTTTTGTTTTTGAAACTGCGCTAACATACCTTTCTCCCGCTAATCTTTTTGTTTTCGCTATTTCACGTTTCCAGTTTTTTTGATCACGTAAACGTTTTCTTGATTTTCTCTTGTTGTTTACGTTTTCATCGACATTAGATTCAGACGAATCTGATGTTGAACTTATAACAGTCAATCGAGGATTTTTTCGGACGCGCGGGGAGGGTGACCAGTTGATACTTGAGTCTGCATCTGTCTCGTACGGGTCATTTTCTTGTGAATTCAAAAGAGAATGGCTACGTTCTCGGGAGTGCAAAACAGAAGGACTATCTTCTCGGCTTAATATGCTTACAAGCGACTCTCGTGATAATTCTCTCAAGCAATATTGAAAGTTTTCTTCATTTGCATGGTTTTCAAAAAATTGCAGCTGTTCCTTTGTTAAAGGTGACGAGCAGCGCTCTTCTCTAATTACTGTTTTTAAAAAAATATAAAGATTTGACTTCGTTAATTATTATAATATAAGTATTACTAGATAGTTACTAAGTTTGAAAATTCGTCACTACCAAATAATAAAGGTTTATCTGTTCACTTTCCTCACAAAATCTACTGAAAATAGTCATAACTCCCAACTTCTTCCAATTTACCAATTGAAAGCAGTTAGGAGTTATGACTTTTTTTATTTTAACATGAATCAACAGGTTGGAAGATTACTGACAAATTTTTAAATAAATTCTATAAGAAGAACTTCATCCGCGTGCTGGACTCGAACCCGCAACCTGCAGCGTAAACAAATAATAAATAAATGAGAAATACAAATGTATAATTTTATATATATAATTATATAATTTTTTAATTATATAATTTATATAATTGAAACTTAAAATATAAACTTACCAATTGAAACCGGTCGTAAAGTTTGCGAATTTAACTGCTCTTCTGTGGTAAGCGACTCTAAAAATACATAGGTATATTATTTGTAAGAAATGTATTATATTATACTAATATGAATAAATAAAACATTACTTCTGAACTATCTAAACTTACCATCTGGAATCGGCTGCAGAAGCTGTAATATTTTTCTCGTTCGATTATTGCACATTTTCGATGTTTTATTGTAAGCGCTACATCAAAATTGGCATACGTGTGCATTAGACGAACGCGAGAAGCGAAATGAAACACTGTTTTTTTTTTTGCGCCCGAAGCAATTGGAAAATGGGCTACCCTTTACGTAGGGGGGCGGAAAATGCATTACGCATACCACGATAGGCTATCCATCGTGGCTATGGGGGACTCACGCCTAACCGGGGAGCCTAAGTGATACCCCCTAAAAACCGCCTTTGGGGACTGACAACCAGCTGTTTAAAGCTTCTCATGCCGTATCGAAAGCGACCCTCTTTTGGGAAAAGAGGGCGCAGGCGGCTATAAGCCGCTGAGGGAGTGCCTACGAAGGCACTCCCTCAGCGGCTTATAGCTGGAGGAATAAAAATTCATTATGAAAAATTAATTTTTATTCCTCCGGCAGCAGGCAGTTCAAGTCGTTTGACAGTTTGCTTGGCGGATCCGAGAGAAAGTTTCTCGGCCTGCGGATGCGATAGCGGGAGGGGAGTGGGGCTGCATAACTAGCTGCCTCACGAATGTATTTTTGGGCCGCCGGTCACGCGTGTCGTACATTTCGTGTATGCGAGTGACCGCTTTGGCGCTATAAAGTAATCCTTTTCAAGGGGACGTGGCTACTTAGAAAATTTTAGGAAATATGTACAATATCCTTAAGATAAAATAAAAAAGCGACTAATTTCATGATACATGACTTTTAATCACATTAAATCTTAAAGCTATTACAATGCACATTATTAAAAATATAAAACAAACAATATAAACTTCAAATTAAAAAAAATGTCTTCTTACACAGGAAAAAATCCAGGAAATACTACAAAAATTACCATTGAAATAAAAATGCAATCAGAAAAAATTAAATCAATAATTGACTAGAAAGAACTAAACATAACGATGGATCTTATTAAAACAGGATAAACAGATATGTGGGTTTCCATCACATTGAGCGCAAAAAGTATTAACCTTTTTAGCTTTATTTTTCGCCAATTTTCGTCCAAACTGCTTTACCATATCTTTGTAACAGTGTACAAAAAATCGTCTAGTATTTCTCACTGTCCCAGTTTTTGTTAGCAACTCGTGCTTCAAACGTTTGGGTCTTGATACCGTTACTCCTGACTCAGTCTGCTGAGAATCTGACGAGCTTGTTAGATAGTCTACTAGAGATTTCCGAAACTCTACGATTGACATTTTTGTGTTCCTAGTTTCGGTAAACATAATCCATGCATTTACTACGGCAGTATTCAACAAAATCTCAATACCAAGTTTCCGGTACCACTTAATAGTTTTACGTAAGGGAGAAGAATACGACGACATTTGGTCGCTCATATCGACAGATCCTTTTGACTTATTATAATCTAAAATCACTTTCGGCTTAGTAATCTGTTTGCCCTTTTTGGCGATTGTTGACATTTTATCAGAATGTTTAGTAGAAAGCATCATCACGTCCCGCTTATCTTTCCATTTTAAAATTGTTATACCATCCTCGTTTTCCATGGCCATGAACTCTCCCTTTTGAAGTTTGGCTTCTACTACATCCTTAGGTAAACCTCTTCGGTTTTTCCTAATAGTCCCAATCAAGTGCGTTTGATGTTCCAGTAAATTGTAAGCCAACTCTAAGCTGGTGTACCAATTATCAGTTACCAAAGTGTGGCCTTTGTTTAATATTTGGCTACAAAGAGACATTACCACTGATGTAGGCGTAGTATTTACGGTATCGATATTTTTACCGCCATACAACGAAAATTTGCAGGTGTACCTGGGAATAGTACATAGTTTGAATAGCTTTAAACCATATTTATGGCGTTTACTTTTATTGTATTGTCTAAATACAATCCGCCCTCTGAATGGAACCTGACTTTCGTCGACACAGATGTCTTCTTTCGGTGAATAATACTTTTGAAACGTATTATTGACCATATCTATAATCGGTCTTATCTTAGAGATTCGATCAGATTTATTTGCGGTTTCATTATCACTAAAATGTAGGTACTGTAGGATTATTTTGAATCTATTGCGGCTCATGACGGTACGTGGAAATGTCTGTCCTAAGATTTTATCTTTGCTCCAGTAATAGCTTAACTTTGGGAGTCTCACAAGACCCATGTATAGGATAAGTCCAAAGAAACGTTTAATTTCATGTCTGTCTGTTGGCTTCCAAGCATGAGATCTTGATGAAGGTTTTACATTTCTCGATTCGCAGGATTGTAAGGCGAATAAGTTGGTCTGCTCTACAATCATATCGAAAATTTCATCAGGCACTAAAAGACTATAAAAAGCTCCCGGGTCTGCTTCTTTTAATATAGTAGAAAATTCTTTGTTCATACCTGAAGTTTCGGTAAATGGTATAATAGATGGTTGTTGACGCCTAGGGCGTGACCATTTCTTTGACACACGATCTGAGGCGGTAATATTGGCTGTGACATAATTTTGAACGGAATCAGACTCACTCTCACTGTCGCTTTGGATGATTAAACGTGTTCGTTTTTTCGGAATATGCAACTGTTCTTCGTTTGAATCCGACAACTCTAGATCTGATTGATTATCTCGTTCATTCTGCTGTACAATGCTAGTCTCGAGTAATGTTAATGCCCGCAAATCTTCCTGTGTAAAATCAAAATCTTCCATGTCCACCTGTATTTCTTCAAAATTTTTACTGCTAAATATTTCCATTTTTAATTATTTATTGCAATGTTCATAATATTCAAGTTCACTGCACACAATATCACACTAATTAAGTACTTGACGCAAAGTATTACAGCAACATAGAACACTCACGTTTTCTCTTCACGGGCGCTAGCGCAGTACTGAGCGGGTGGGTGGCCGACGCGGTGACCGGCGTGGCGCCTTCGTAAACGGAAACTATTTTTATTACTTTATAGCGCCATGGGGGGCACCGGTGACCTCAAGGGTTTTTTTTGTTATATTTACGGAACCCTATGGCAGATTCTTATGAAAAACAGTA